GCTGCTCTGAGCCCCTCACAGTGTTACAGGAGCCCACTAGTCTTGATGTTGCCTTAGCTCCCTGGGGACTCGGCGGGGGGGCAGGACGACCAGCCTTTCTGGGAAGAGAGAAGGCCCTTCTCTGGGGCTAAGACCAGATGGTGGAGCAGTGGGAGACTGAGGATGAGCAGGGCCTGTTGGGAGCTGGACGGGATGGGGCTGCCTTCTGGAGTGTGGAGGTCATGGAGTGTTGGCTTTGGTGGGGGAAGGGGGGCGCAAGCGGCAACAGGAGGCACTTGAAGTCAGGAAGAGCGGACGGGTGGTGTTTCCTGGGCACTGAACGTGTACACCACCCAGGGCACAAGGGCCAGGACGAGGCATGGCCACAGGGTATACTTGAGGAAATTGAAGATGTAGAAAAGGCTGATCTGAGGGGGATGGCCCAGCCAGTCCAGGGGGCCCAGCAGCCCCATGGCCAGCACAAGGCAGGCTATCTTCTGGCCGTGTCCCAGGTATGCCCGCCGTACCTGGGCATAGCAGGGAGAGTGCACGGCGATGCCCAGACCCAGGGCGGCCCCTGAGTCGCGGCTCAGGGAGGCAAAGGGCCGGCTATCCACGTGTACCCACTCAGGCCGCTCACACCACTTGGAGGCCAGGCTGATGGACCTATGGGGAGGAGGGGTCTTTGCCAGGAAAGACATTCCCCTCGAAGCAAGAGGGCCAATGGCTCTTAGCTCCTTTGGGGTCTACCCCCATGTTCTGCTGTGACCCCAGAAGAGTCTGTGTTTGTGAGCAGGTAACGTGTCCCTTTTTAGCTACAGCAAACCAGGGACCCATCAAGCTAGGTACAGGCGAAGCAGAACAGGCCTCAGCCTGCCCAAGCTTCAAAGCAGGACTTACCAAGAAAGATCCAGGCCCAGTGTAAAGAGGGTCCAATAGATGAGGCTGGCACCCAGCAAGAGGGCCAGTGAGGTCAATCCGTAGAAGCTTAGCTCCCGCTCCATGGGCACCCGGGGGGTCATCAGCCAGCCCAGGACAGCACCTAGGGAAGTGGGGTAACAGCAGCTTCAAGGAGTTTGGGGATATGAGCCCCGGAGCTGTAGGGCAGCTTGGCAGAACAGACTGAGCTATGAGGGGGCCTTGGGGTCTGCTGTTCGATGGGAAGATCCTACAGTGGTCCTCCCACTGCCAGTGGCAACCCCTAGGCCCACCCTGTGGCCCCAGTTGCTCACCGGTTATTAGGCCAGCCAACACCTGGTGAGGGAAATGTGCTAAGAGGAAGATCCGGGACAGGCCGACCGCCAATAGGAAGGTGCAGTAAGCCAGGCTAGGTATCACCCTCACCCAGTGGCTACAAAGAAAAGCAAATGGTTCAGGGGGTGTCCATACACAGCTCAGCACCCAAGCACTTCATGGTTTGACCAAATGCCCCAGAGCCCCCCAGAATTCCGGCTCCAGGCTACCCTGCTGCTGGGTCTTTTGGATCCAGGGTACCATCCCCCCTGCCCTCGTTGGTAGGCAATGCCGAGGCGTACCTGTGGGTCCGAGTGGCCAGCTGGGAAGAGATGGCTGTCATGATGGGCCAGAGGGCTGCTCCTGTGATCATGCAGTGTCCAGAAGGGCTGCCTGCCGGGGGGTCCAGAAGCTTGAGGTGAGAGGATGAGAGTGGAACTCAGGAGCCCCTGGCCCCACCCCCGAGGCCTCACACTGGTGCATGGTTCCCTCTGCCCTGCAGCCTACTTCAGCCCTGCCCGAGGCCACTGCTCTCAGGCTCCTGCTTTGCCCTGTGTCTCTTGGATCTACTCTAAACAACGTGGGCAGCTGGCCTGGGCGCTCTACTCCCAGAATTCATCTCCGTCTTCCCCGGGCTCTCTTTGTTCTCTGGGTCAGTAACGGAGAGGCTGGGCCTCTGGTTAGGCCACCCCAGCTGAAAAGTACTCTGAAACACTCACCAAACCCTAACCACACCAGGACAGGGAGGTTTGGGGCTTCCCACCTGGACCAGTTTCACAAGAAGAGGGGAACTGGTGAACCTGGGCTGGGGCCTGGCTGTAGTACCCAGACTCATGGACCCACCAAAACGGCCTGTCTCCAAACAGAAACCTAGAAGAGAACAGATGCAAGATGACATTACACAAACATGCAGCCAGGGGAACAGGAGGGGAGCAGAAGGATGCCTCTGGAGGGCCTGCACGGTGGAGTCAGAAAGGGAGTCCAATTCTGTGTATTACCTTGGTGCAATGATTTTTTTTTTTTTTTTAAGATTTTATTTATTTATTTGAGACAGAGAGAATGAGAGAGAGAGAGCACATGAGAGGGGGGAGGATCAGAGGGAGAAGCAGGCTCCCTGCTGAGCAGGGAGCCCAATGCGGGACTCAATCCAGGGACTCCAGGATCATGACCTGAGCCGAAGGCAGTTGCTTAACCAACTGAGCCACCCAGGCGCCCTGCAATGATTTTTTTTACCTTGCAACAGAATGCACGCTATTTTTTAAGAAGTGATAAGGAGACAAGAGACCGTGTGTGTGTGTGTATATGTGTGTGTGCAAGTGCACACTCTGAAATGCTCATTAGTCCTGCTCTTACGCCTCCCACGGCAGGGCTAGCCCTACTCTTCTCATTCCTAGAGAGCCCAGGACCTGACTCTTCCTTTTTCTCCCAGGCCCCCACTCATGCTCCTGCTTCTCCCTCTCTCCATTCCCCAAATTCCAGCCACAATTACCTACACGTGAACTCCTTAGGTGAATCTCTGGTGTTTGAAACCGGGAGTGGGAAATGGACAGAGGAAACTGAGAAAGAACAAGAAGAACCAAAAGTTCAAAGTCCCCTGGGCTAGCAGGTGCTTTGCTGGACCCTGGGAAACTGCACACCAAAGAGGCTAGGCTGCTGGGGCCAGAAAGAGAAAAGGTGGGAGAACAGAAAAGCTGCTGCTGGGGAGGGACACAAAAGGGAGCCGCCTCTCCTCACCACCAGGTTCACACACCAGGTGCTCCAGACACTTAGGAAATGAATAGGGGCTTTGTCACGTGGGGGAGGGGCATTGAGAGGGTCTACCCAAGGGGGTGGCTGTCTTGGAGGAAGCAGTAGAGGGGGAGGCTCACATAGCTCACACAGACTCTGAGCAGAGAGAAGAGCATAAAGCAAAGGGCAATTAGGCAAAAAGGAAATGATGAGACCGTTGCTTTTCCGTTTTCAGGAGGGATGAAACCCTTGCAGAGAAGAGAGGAGAGGAAGGTAACTCCTATTTTGTTTTTCCGCAAGTCATTCCAGCCCATTCAAGTGTCTGCTCTGAATTCCCTTCCCTCCCCCAGGCAGGGTATCAGGCAATGGAGGCTGAGGGGAGGGGAGGGGAGGAGCAGCTCATGCCCAGCGGGAGGCATAGCTCCCCTCTTCACCCAAGAGAGAACAGGTGGCACCAAGAGATAAGCCCTTAGGGCCCCACCCACTTGCCTGGGATTCCCGGCTTCTAAGTCTGTGTCAAGAGCCTACCAGCGAATGGAGGAGAAAAGGAAGAAGAAAGTGTTCCCTGGAAGGCAGTGCTTTTCAAGCCTTACTAGGCACTCCAATCACCTGAGGTCTTTGTTGAAATGCAGATTCTGATTCAGGAGCTCTGGCCGGGGGCCTGAGATCTTGCATTTCTAGCAAGTTTTCAAGGGCTTCCTATGCTGCTGGTCACGGTCCGGGAAATGCACCTTAATTTTCGAGCCTTCTCTGTCCTTATTAGCAGCTAGTGTGAAACCTGGCACAGAGCATGCTTCTTAACAACTATGTCAAATAAATGAATGAGTAGATGAATGAAAGAGTGAGCTGAGAAGCAGGACTTTTTGCTACTTAAGCTGCCCTAGATGCTTCTTAAAATACAGATTCCCAACCCCTCCCCTGAAATTTCTCTCTTTTTTTTTTTAAGATTATTTATTTATTTATTTGACAGAGAGAGACACAGCGAGAGAGGGAACACAAGCAGGGGGAGGGTCAGAGGGAGAAGCAGGCTCCACGCAGAGCAGGGAGCCCGATGTGGGACTCGATCCCAGGACCCTGGGATCATGACCCGAGCCGAAGGCAGCCGCTCAACCGACTGAGCCACCCAGGCGCCCCTCCCCTGAAATTTCTAAGTCAGTATGTCTGAGGTGGGATGGGGTACCTGCATTTTAAAGGCGCCCCTTAGGTGAATGATCAGGCCTGAGAAATACTGGTCTAATGAGTAAGATGGGGACTCTGAGGCCTGAGACCAAGATGCACAATGATGCTCAAAGGAAAAAAGTCAGGGGCCATGGGGTAGGGGTGAGGAGGTCTTAAGGCTATGGGTTCAGTGGGGCGGGGTGGTGGGGGAGGTCCGAGCCCTTAAGGCACCTGCTGAGAGAGATCAGGGCTTGCCCAGGACTCAGGGCCCTTGGGGGTGGGGGACCAGGACGCCGAGGGCTTCGCTGTCTCACCACTTGAAGACGAGGTTGAGCCACTCGGTGATGAGGCTGATCCAGAGCACTGCGATGCCCACGCGGCGGGAGGCGTAGTAGGCCGCGGGGAAGTAGAACAGAAAGAGGCTCTTGGGATCGCCCAGAAAGGTGACCCAGAGCCACACACTCTCCAACCAAGGCAGTTGGTTTTGCAGCGCCTCGGCCATCGCGATGCCCGCGCCCAGCGTGGACTCCATGGCGACCCAGGGGCCGGCCGGGCGGGGATATGCTCTAAGGCGGAAGCCGAGGAGTCGCGGAGACAAGGAAGCGGCTCCCCACTGCGGTCCAAAGCCCACCTTTCTGAGCTCCAGGCCCCGCCCCCTGCCAGCGGCCGGCGCCGGCGCCGGCCCCGCCCCCGGCCCCGCCCCCCGGCTGTCCCAGACTCGCGCGAGCCCGGCCTCTAGCCGGTACCGTTTCCTCCAGCTCTCTTCCCGGGCCTTCCTTTCTACTGGGCAGCGCAGGGGACAAATCTTTGCGAAGGCGTTTCCGCAGAGCCCCACGTGGCCGCTGTTGCGGCACGTGGGCATTGGGCGCAGAGGCGGCTCCCGCTGCTGTTCCGGGTCAAAGGAAGGACTAACTTGCGGGTCGGCGACGGGACCGGGGTTCTTGCTTTGCTGCTGCGAAGATGGATGTGTAATCTCCAACGTCAGGATTCTTCGAGACCGGACCTCTTTTCTCCTGTACCGCTACCCTCCAAAGATATTCTGAGATTTCTTGGAGAAAGGTTTACGTGCACTCCCTCATCGGAGGAGCCAGGCATCACCGGTCGGCGCTGAAGCGGGACCCTAAATTTGCATACACCGCTGATCAAACCTTGCCTTTCTCCCCCAGCTCAAGAATCTCCCGCCCGAATTCATCCGTTATTGATTTGGAAGCTGACAGATAAGCCTCTTAATTTTGAAGAGTCTTCCTTAAACACTTGCGAATTCTTACACGTAGCAGTCTAAGTCACACTTCCTCCCACTTCTAAGCTTGCTTTATCTCCCTCCTTCCATTTTCTTGCCTTCCCAAACCTCGCTGGGCAGGTAAACCGTGAGGTAGTAGCTGCGTTGGTATGGGAAGAGGAGGGGCACACACCCACGACAAAATTTGGAATAATCCTCTCGAGGAACACGCACAAAATAGAAACCTCAGCTGTTCTAGGCGAGGTCCTGCCTAGAGGCAGAGTTGGGGTGGGAGGATGCTGTTGAGTGGCTCCCCCGTTCCTTCCTACCTCAAGCAACTTTGTTCTTGGAGAGTTTTCTGATGGGTGGATGAAAATGAGAATGTAAATATGGTTCTTCTTGGAAAGAGATTAATTTCACTAATTAAAAAGGTGTGGGGAACGGAAGCTGGATATAAATGTCATTTCACTCCCTTGCTAAATGTTTTCCAATTGCCCCAAGGAGAAAGCCTACATTTTCTAGGTCTTTCAAAGTTTGCTCAGGCTCTAGCAAGACAACTTTTACCAGCCTACCCCCACAACTCCATTTCATAATATTTCTGAACTACTTTATGTTCCTTGAAATCACCAAGCTCTCTCTCTTTTTAGGGATTTTGCTTGTCCTTTAGGTCTCAGATTTTTTCACTTCCTCCAAGAAGCTTTTCCTAACAGTACCTGGCAGTCATATATATGAAAACCTATAATCACAATGCCATATAAAAAGTGGAGCGGCAGTTACATATGACTTGTTGTGAGGGTCAGACTTGAAAGTTATCCGAAAAAACACAACTAAGAGGGAGCAGTGTATTTATTCCTATTACAATGACTGTACATATATACGCCTAACATTAGGAAGTTGATGTCTCTTGCAGGGTGAGGAAACACTTTTGAACTGTGTTCAGGTTAAGTAGCACCAGCACTAGCCCTTTGCCTCCCTCTGGACTAGAGAAAGGTCAGCCTATTGTTACTATGTGAGGCCCCAGAATTTCTATGGGGGGAGGGGCAGGTAGGTGGATTAGGGATGGAAATTGGTGATGATAGGGCTTGAAAATGCATCTTGCATGTTAAAATTTTAGTATATCTGATGGACACTAATGGGGGAGGGTCAAAACTGTCCCAAGGCCACCTTTGTCACTACCTCTGCTTCTCATTCCTGCCCTTTGCCTGGCTTTCTAGAGAGAGCAGGATGGGAGATGGGGAGGCATCTCGAGTTCCAAGGGTGATGGGTGATCATGGAGGAACTACCATTTATTAAAGACCTACTACATGCCATTCATCTGTACACATCTCACTTAACCACCTAACTCCTCTGGAAGGCATTATTTAATACAGCAGAGCAGTAAACAGCACCGTCTTTGGAAACAGGTAGAACGAATTCTTTCTGGTTGTGCGATCCCAGCCAAGTTTAGTCTAAGACTTTAGTTTCTTCATCTGTAAAATGAAGGTGTTGATTCCTACACCAAAGGATTGTTGGGAGTTCAGTAAGTAATAATACAGAAGAAATAAAGATGCAGGATCAGGTTTAGTAATTTGCTCAAGGTCATACAACTTAGTAAGTGGCAGACCTGGGATTCCGATCCCAGTTTGGCTAATCCTATAGGCAGTGTTCTTTCCACTACCACTTTGTAACTGGGTATAATAATTTTGGGCAAGTTTCCGTAAGTCCTCTGGTCCTCCGATTCCTCGTATATAAAATACAGAGTTCATTCATTAAACTCTTGTGTCAAGGTGTGCTCATATGGAGACTGCAGCTCCCGCCTCCTTCCCCTTTTCATTCCACGTAGGTCATTTATCTTTAACTTCTGAAAAGGAGTCTGCAAGCACCTTACCATGCGGGCCCAGTTGCACAAACCTACTTACTCAGATACCCCTTTATTTCCTCTTCTTTCCTTTTCCACCTAGGCTCCCGCCCCACCCAGCGCCAGGCCACGCCCTGGCGTGTGACGTCAGCACGCCTCGTGCGTCGCGTCGCGGCGCTCACTGGGGGCCCGGCTTTCGCCCGCTGCTGCCGCCGCCGCCGCCGGCCGCGGCTGCTCTCCCAAGATGGCGGCTCCTCCGGGCGAGTACTTCAGCGTTGGGAGCCAGGTGTCGTGCCGGACGTGCCAGGAGCAGCGGCTGCAGGGCGAGGTGGTAGCCTTCGACTACCAGTCCAAAATGCTGGCTTTAAGTATCCTTCGCTGCGCGGAGCCCGAGGCCGGGCCGGCGTGTATGTGCGGTGGTGGTGGGGGGGGTGGGGGACGACGGCGGCGGCTGGGGCCCTCTCCGGGCCTAGGGGCGACCGGCTACCGCGGCGCCCGGAGCGCATGCGCACGGGCCTGAGCTCCCCTCCCCCTCTTCGCGTGTCCCTTGGTCCGCTTTGGGGACCCTGTCTCCCAGCCCTTGTGGGAGCTGGGCCCCGAGCGAGGGTCAGTGGGTGTAGGGGGGCTTGACACGCGGATGCCTTTTCGGGGAAACGCTAGGAGAGGGGACACAGTGATCGGGAGAGAGGGTGGTCGTGGGAGGGGGCTGGTGGATTGGAGCCCGGATGGAAGGGGGGCGAGTAGAATCATGTGGGGAGGGGGTGTGCAGAGTAAGGAACTGCTAGTAGCGCAAGGGTATGGAGTTTAAGAGGGGGTGTTTTCTGGTGGGATTCGGTCCAGGGAAGGGCGGTGGGGTGGTGACCAAATGGGCCTTGCTTGCTTTGGGGGAGAGTAACTGCAGGACAGTTTGTATCTGAAATGGGGATAGGGGCTTGTTTTGCTGGTGAGTGTGTTTGCGTGGTGCTACTGGGAGCGGGGAGTATTGAATTAGCTTTCTCAGTCATTTGAAAATTGCTGTTTTGAGAATGTTTGCATTGGAAACCTGGTCCAGATAGAAGACTACGTTTTTTTCAGGGGCTCGTGTCGGGTTGTGTGGGTTACAGGTGAAAGAGTAAGTTATCTTCTCCTCAGCCCAGCACATGGAGTCCTGACTTTTCCATAGCAGTTGCCTCCCCTTTTGGAAGTGTCGGTGTTAAACAGAATGGAAAAGAAGACCTGCTTCTTTGGGGTGGAAATGATTTGTGAATTACTCCAGGAAACTCAGTCTTGGAAACAAAATACTTTATGATTGCAATAAATAAGCCACCCCTTCCCCTTTCTGAGCCACAGGTGGGTTTATTTTTTTATTTTTTTGAGTAATCCTTTATGGCATCTTTCAAAAGGAAGTTTCCTACTGAGTGCTGCATTTGAGTGGCAAGTATACCACTAGTTGTAGATTTCTAGCTTAGGAAGATGTCCTCTGAAACTACGGCAAGAACCATTGCCTTTTTTTGGTAAAATATAAAAACTCAGATCTGGACCAAATAGACCTTTTACATTAGTGGTTTAATTGGAAGGGTTTTGGCATGAGGAATTACTTTACTTTTAATTGGCGTATATTATGCTCTTGATAAATAGTTGGAGGACGGGTGAGTGAAAGAAAGAAAGAATGAATGAATGAATATATAAATATATAAATAAATGGGTTATCTAGCTGGGTTCACCTGGAGTGAGCCTCCTTTCCAGTGCTATAGTTTCCTCCTCTGCAGAATGGGAAATCTGAAATCTAAAAAAGTGAAAAGAGCAGTATATAGATGAAAGGAGTATTATACCAAGAACAGAAAGTACTTCCTCTCCTGTGTGGTTCCTTAGGTCCAAGACAAACTATATATACGACATTAACACTGCATTATGCCTCCCCATACAACCAGTAGAGAGGTGACAGAAACCCTTTCTGAGGCTTCCAATTTTGGATGGTATTTGGCTTTGAAAAGCTTGAGATCTTTTGGTTCTGGGGTTTTGAGCGGGCGGAAGGTGATAGGCAGAGATTTCCTGAGGAGAGCTGTGATTCTTGTGAGGCTCCCCCCTCTTGCTCGTGGCACACCTGTTACACCAGCCTTGTGTGAATTGTGTTTTCCATGCCCCTTTTGGGATGTGTCAGTGCTCTGTTTGCCCCTATTTTCCTTAACTTTATTTTTTCACCAGAATGTCCCTCTTCCAGTGGAAAGCCCAACCATGCAGACATCTTGCTCATAAACTTACAGTATGTTTCAGAAGTGGAAATAATTAATGACCGAACAGAAACCCCTCCTCCCCTAGCTTCACTCAATGTTAGTAAGGTAAGGACTTGAGGGCAGTTCTGGCTCTCCAGAATGGGGGGGAAAATTGAGACTCATTGACGCTTGGTGATACATACATTGTCCATTGTTTTTCATTTTTTCATTGACTTAAAATTGTTTGTTCTGACACCTTTTTGAAAAACCTATCAGTTTAGGTTTTCTCTTTATTCCTGGATATCTTCAGAAGACTTAAGAAACCTTTTAATGCCCAAATAGAGAAATAAAGTTGCGAGCTTGCTTTTGTCCTTTGTGAAAGAGGACTTTTTTTTTTTTTTTTTTAAACCTGGAGTCCATGCGTGAACTTCCGGTATTGGTGGGGTTGGGTGGGGTGTTGCCTGTGAATCTCCTGAAATTGTGTGTGCGCACACATGAATAGATGTGGTTTTGGTGAACATATGGAGTATTTTGCAGATCTCTGATTCATGACCTACAAAAATTTGGAAAACTACTGCCTTAGAGCTACATTTGTGTCTTTGTTTGTATTTTTGAAGTCTGACAGAATTAGAGGCTTAGGATATTTTAATCTTGGACGTACATGTTGATGATCTGGGAACCCCCAAACCACTTTGACTCTTTAGTTCTGTGAGCGAAAGTTCATGTATAATAATAATAATAATACCATCCCATGCCCTGTAGTCTTTGCTGTCCTGTACTTTGAACACTCTTTCTTCCAGAATGTCTGGAGCCGCATCCTTCAGGACTTAGTTAATGGCACCTCTTCCAAGAAGTCTTCTCTGATCACCCAGGCTAAAGTAATTTGCTCCCATTATTCTCTCTTACAGTACTTTATCCTTTAGAGTTAAAGTGACATAGCATTTATAGTCCAACTTGGGACATTTTTGAGAGTAAAGCAGAGTGCTTTTGTTTTACACTGGGACAAGTATAGATCAGTGTGTCCTGGGCACATTGGAACTTAAGGTTACCCTATTCATAGCCTTATTATAAGCATAATTGTGTATCATTTGTTTGCTTTTCTATCTTAACCAAACTTGTGAGGATGGGAGCCATACTTGTTTTGTTCATGGCTGAATATACAGAGCCTTGCACAGAATAAGTGCTTAATATTTTTTGAATGAATATTAGACCTTCGATTTTAGTAGCAGCTGCCTTTCCTTAAGTCTCGTGAATTAGTGTGGTGGAGGTTTTTCCCTCTGGAGGAGTCTTGTAATAACGTATATTCTCTTGCTTCTCTCGGGAATGTGGTATGTTGGCTACAACTCAGCAAAGCAAGGAAACACTCAGGCAGCTGAAACAATAGAGGGTAACTGAGGCTGGCAGTATATAGTTACCTCCGATCTGCAGGTCCCTTCTTTTCAGATTCCAGGGAAATGCCACTTGTTTTTTAGTGATGGCTGAAGACAGATTCAGAACGGTGTTGGGTTTCATATTAAAGGCTGTTGCATATAGAATGTCCCATTCTTAGAAATCTATAGGTTTTTGAAACCCTGGCTTCGGTACCTCCTATTAGAATGTAGGAGGTCTTTGAGTGGTTGTCTTTTTTTTTTTTTTTTTTTTTGGCTGAAGAGATTTTAAAAGGTTCAAGTGAAATAGTTTATTTCTGGTATGTTGAAGAGAAAATAGTTACTTTTAGTGTTTATAGGGTATGAAAGTTTGTTACTAAATAACTGGATCTTTAGTGAGTAGTAGAGGAAAGATTATTTGAAAGAGGGATGGTTTTCTGAAATGTAAAGGATTAAGTTTCTGTTCTTGGGACCAATATGTGCCACCGTTTAGTTGAGAGGAATTGGATTATTAGGGGTGAGACAGTTAAGTGGGAGCTGTTAAGAGGTAATTTACTTATGTTTGACCTCAAATATACATAGTTCTTGGTTATTGAGTTTGCAGCGTATTTTTGTCCTTTAGGGTTTTGCTTTCTGCTGGTCAGTTTTAGATTATCAGTATTGTTGTAAACTAGTTGTTTACCCACTCTTTCAAGAAAGCAGCAGGTATCAATAGGTTAAGGAAGACTGGAAATTTTTACTTTTTTTTGTGGTCTGCTTGCCAAGTCTTGAAAAAGGTTTGCTGGGAAGAGGAGTCAGAAACTTAAAAACTAAAATTAGGTTGGAGGGCTATCTCTGGACTTCATTTATTCACTCTTTCATTTGCAGACATGTTTAGGAGTAAGCTATATTGGCTTTCCCATCGTTTGAGGATGCTTGGTGATTGCTCCCTGGAATCGGTTAGACTTAGAAGAGCGTGCTGCACTGTTACTGAAAACTTAATCTGGGCAGGTGTTTACATATTGCTTGAATGACCTGAAAAGTCCATCCCATTGAAGAGCATGGACTTGGGGTATTTTTAAGATGGAGGATTGTTTAATCATGTTAGAAGGGAACTAAAGTGCTCAGAGATCCCTGGAAGAAAACTTGCTGCTCACAGTCTTGGGGAGTGGAGCACACCACCTGTGTGCTCCACTTCCAGTAGGAAGATACTGTCACATGTTGGCTCATGTTGCTGATATAGTAAGTGCTTTGTTTAATTAATCCTGTTGATATAAATTGGATATTTGTTTACTCTGACCCAGCAGGAAATGGAAGAGAAGGACTTTTAAAGAAAATACTTAATTCCAGCCCAACTAGAGAAGGTACGAACTAGCAGTTCTTAGAGATGAGCCTATTTTGCTTTCTGTTTACAGTTCACTGCAGGCTAAGAAGTCCTGTGTCTGTCCACAGCTGTGGGATGTGAGAGGCAGCTTGGAAGAGGACAGTGGGGTTGCTGAAGGTGGAAGTTATGAGTATCATTTGATCTTCTCCACAGTACCATTGTACCCTGTTGAAGTGTTCTGAATTTCCTGACTCTAAGACAGAAGCATTTCAATAAAAGTACAAAAGCACATCAAAGCCAGTCATAAGTGAGGTTCAGGTTACTCACCCTGTGGCTTATTAGTTTATTTTGTCATGAGGAAGGTTTAAATATTGCTTTAGGACAAGAAGAACCCTAGGGTCCACGTGGCAGAATGAAGTATGGTGTTTCTTCTTAACAAGTTCCTTTGAACTGACTCTGCATCTGGTTCTCTGGGGATGAAGATTACCCATGGGTTGGTAGTGTTCTCAGGAGATGATTTGGGACATGTCAACATTAACAAGGTTCTCTCTTGTGTAGCATTATAAAATATTTCCTGAAATCTATTTTGTGCAAGGTGTTGTGGTAAGCTCTGCTGGGGACCACATTTTACATTTGTCTCGTGCTTTACAATTTACAAAGAGCTTTGACACCTCTCATTCCATTCTCACAATCACACCATGTGATCTTTAGAGTGTATTCTTTTCCTTTTCATTTAACAGATGAGAAGACAGGCTTACTCGTTTAAGTGACTTGTTCTAGGTTATATGGCTGGTAGTGTGGGAACTAATGTTTTTATGTGCCACTCTGAACTAGCAACTGGTAGACATCTCATTTAATTCTAACAGTTCTTATGGTGTGGGTACCATCAGCATCTCATAGGAGGGTAAACTGAGGCTCAGAGAGAATGAGTCATTAGCTCTAGATCATGCAACTACTAAGTAATAGAGCTGGGATTTGAACTCACGTCTGATATTTTGACTGCAAAGTCCCATGTTAATAGTATTTTTATGTAGAGAAACCTCTGTATTATGTGGTCAGGAGCATTGTGGTCTAGTAGAAAAAGCAGGAATCAAGCAGGTAAGTCTTTAAAGTCACTTCTCTGCCTCTTACCCTTACTAAGCATCAGTTTCCTCACTGTAAAAGTGGGATAACGTTAGTACCTGTCTCATAGAGTTGTTATGGGGATTAGGTCAATTGACTAGAATTGGCAGATGTTAGTCTGTTCTTCTGCATTAGCTATGTGTAGCCAACTGATGTTCCTTGAATAGGCATAGGGGCAGGATGGGGGGAAGGGGGGCATTATGACTGAGGGAAGGCAGCCAAGAATATGAATGCTATTACTATGTCAGTCTCTCCTGGCTTTGGATTGACATTTGTTCAGTGTCCAAACTTGCCAACCCCAGATTGCGGAAAATCAAAATTGTATTGAATACCATTAATATGTAATTGAGTTAAATGTTTTTAAGAGATCTCTTCTTGGTGACCAGAATTAACTTGAACATTGAGAGCAGTGTTACCAGGTGGCATAGTTAAGTGAACACTTGGCTGAGTACTGGAGTTTAGAGTGAGCAGTCACAGAACCTAGGAGGCTGTGCTTTCAACTTCTGAGATCCTTAGGAAAGAACTCAGGGACATAGCCGAAGCAAGTGTATGTATTTGTTCAGATAAATGCATCCAGTGTATTGACTGAGATGTAAGTTGTCTTCTCACTTTGCTGAGTCGGAGAAGACTTTCTTGGAGAGATATTTGTGTGTTGTGGGGGGAGGTGGGAAAAGTGACAAAGCATAGGAAATTGAAATCCACACACATATAAGGCATCCACCTCCTTTGCCAAACCACTGACTAATTTGTCAGCCTCTTTTATCCATTATTACCCATTTAGATCTTACTAACAAGCAGTGAATTATCAAATGCAACCAGGAAGAAGAGATTCAAAAGGCTTATCATTAGCCCCTGCTAATGAAGAAGGAGTTGGCTGCCTTTGGATAAAAAGGGTATATGGAGATTGGGCGGGGTGGTAGGGGGCGGTTCTCGTAAGGCTGAGAAAATGGAAGAGTCACAGAGTTCAGTTTAAAAAAAAAAAAATTGTTCACCTTTAGATATGATGTCACATTGGGGGAAGAGCTGACTGACTTTTTGTTTTGAGTTCTCCCAATTTCAAAGCTAAGGTTTTAGCATAACCTTAGACTTTCCAGTGATTTGAGTGTTGATTCTCCAGTATGAGTAAACTCCTGGAGTAGTTAATAGCTGCTGCATTGTGGCCTTTGTTCATGGATCTATCTTGTTAGGTGGGCCCTTGACCATATCGTGACCCTAATGTGTTGAGGTGTGGAGTTATCACCAAGTAGAATCTGATGGCCTGGCCACACTGTTTAGGTTATGTGTATATTGGTAGGAGTTCATATTATGTGTAAATGTGGGAAGGGAAACCACTA